AACAAGTCTGACTTACAACATGGAATATAATTGTCTGAATTGATCATATGAAAGCTGATATCCAAGATACACAATAGTTGTTTACTGTACACGTCACTGGTCATACAGAGATGACTGTGTGGGTTTAGCTCACTGTACTTTCCCCCTCTTGTGGATGTAAGAGCCTTCATATTATATCTATTTCTAGTTCACTCCTCAGTGCTCTGTTCATTCACTACAGGTTATTTTTCAGGTCAGATGCTGCCACCTACAGGATCATCTGAGCATGTGGCCGGTCCGGATGGACTTATTGTTCCATTTATTAAACTACACTTTAACTGTTTAAACACACTTTTAATCTGCTCAGTTAAAAGGTGTGACCATCATCTTCTGTTTACTTACCAAGATGGTTCAAATATAAAAAAAAACCTGTGCATGAACAATACACAGCTGTGGCTATGGTAATATACAGTAGCCATTCTCCAATTTATTTAATTTAGGATATTTTAAAGTGTTTCAGGAAGAACAGGTGACTTCTCCATAACCTAGACTGTACTGCAACGATGCGTTGACACATTACAAAGTGTGTACACTAATGCCGAGCACCCACAGGGCCTGTCTGAGCACGTGTTCACTCATGTGAGCAAACACTTATGCAAACTATTACAAATACCCACACGCAAAATGTACTGTACTCACAGGTCACTGAAATGCAGCCCACACTGCAAACACAAAGCGCCCAGGAGAACGTGTAGGAAGGCAAAAGCAAAAAAGACAAAAAAAAAAAAAAAAAACTGAGGGAGAAAATAAAGAAACTACTCACTACTGAACCCCACCCTGCTCTGATCCAGCTAAAGAATGAGAGCAGAGAGAGGGCAAAAGAAAAAGACAGTGAGTAGGAGAGGACAGAGGAGACAGGACAGGACACGACGACTATAAAAACACAAGACCCTGAATAAACGAGGAAAGAGCGGTAAAAGTCACAAGTTTCCACTTCATGAATTCTTGCTGTAATTTATGACCCAGAGCAAAGAGCAGACAGACAACCACAGAGAGACACTCTGAAAGGCTCTGGGTGACAACAAAAGGATAGCTGATGTATTTTTCAGCTGCACACAGCTGTGTTTGACCTGCAACACAGGAAAACAGGCCCAGGGGACGGCGCTGTATTTACCTGCTGTGGGTTGTTGGGCATGTATGGCAGCATGGTGGACACGTGGAACATGACCTCATAGCCTTGGTAGGTGGTGTACAGGGAGTGGGTGCCCGTGGAATCCGCTGCATAGAGGAGGAGGAGGAGGAGATTTTAATGTCATGTCAGTTCTTAACTACAGACGATGCGGAGTCCAAACACAGATATTTTAGTCAGGGATCATGTCGAGACTGTCCCTGTGATTTTTCTCAAGCTATGCTATAACACTGCTGGTTAAAGTCATGGATTTTACTGTAGGCATCTTTTACAGTACATAAACTTCTATTCATGACGGGACTGTTACAGAAACAGCCACAACGCTCTCACTCCTGGTTGAACAGCTGAAAAGATAAGATATTAAGCAAAAAGTGGTGTTTTCTGTTTTCTCACGGGTTGCATCAGTAAAGGATTTTAAAATGTATTTTATTGTTGAGGACTTAATTAATTACAATCGTGAATGCAGGGGATGCTCACTCCCTCTTCTCTCTAGTAAATATCCCAATAGATTTCCCATCAGTTTCCTCACTACACATAAGGAGGTGAGTGTTATAATTGTGAGTGTAGGAGCTATTTGTTCCTGTGCCCTGAACTGCCAGAGGAGAAAAAATCATCTTCACAGACTGATCTGGTATGAGAAGGATCTCCTTGACAAGTGCAGGTTTTATTTCTCTAAGAGGCTACAGGAGATGAATACTGATAAAAACCCATCTACTACTGTGGGTTTAAGGTGAACAAGATGTGCATGCTTTACTCAGTGCTGCTGTGGTCTTTATGTTAATTCAGTTTGGACATGTGTAATCAGGTCTGATCTTCTCAGATTCCTGTTGTGACTTTTAGATCAGAGCAACTCAGGTGCTCACTCTGAGTGACCAATGTCAACAATGAGCAGCCCTTACTCTTTGTGTCGAGCTGTGCGGCATATTTGGTGAAGCCTTTGAGCAGCACCTGCTCCCCCAGCAGCTCCAGGAAGGCAGAGAAAGCAGAGGAAGCCTCCTCATTGTTGTACATCTCCTCCTCTGTGCTCTGGCCTGCACGGCACAGCAGAACACCCACCTTGTGCTTCTGGCTTAACTGCAAGGCAGCAAAGAGATAACATTAACATAACACGCTCGCAGGAAAAACACATACAGCTAGAACACAGAAACGCTGAAGCTCGTGCTTCTAATGAAGCTGAACGTCAAAGTTGATTTACTAACACCGTATCTCAAATTTCTGACACACTGACACATGTTATTATATATAAAGCAGCTGTACAAAAAACAATAAGCTTACTGTTGGCAAAACACCTCCACCTTGCACTTCACCCTCCATTAAACAAGAGGTGAGATAAGACGGCTAAACACTAAAGCTCTTACAGTTACACACTTGTGCTCAAACACACCACACCCTGCTTCACACAGCTTTCACTTCCATCAGCACAAATTTGCACTTTACACTAAATCAGTTATACAGGTTTCAGACAGTTTTATCCACACTATGTGAGCACAGCACCACTTTATCTGTTTGTATCTTTACCTTTGCGATCACGGCGACCAGTGTGATTTACAGGTGAACTTTCTGTATTTTGCCCAAGGACAATCTGAATGGAGGTATTGTTGCTGCTGGGCTCAACTGTTCAGTTTCATGTTTTACTGCACAGGCCCCAAAACAAAATGCAAACATCACAGGCACGGATCTTACCCCCTGTTCGTCCAGTTTAAGAAGCTGCTCTGTGACTTTGGGTGTGCTGAGTGCCAGCCTCAAACAGGACACGTTGAGCTCGGGGACAACCTGCTCCAGGACCTCTTTAAGCGGCAGACCCCGAACCGTGCCGTGTCTTCCCGTAGATGCCACAGAATCCTCTAAAATGGAGCCTCGCAGGGTCACCAACTGTGTGTGGGAAAAGAACAAGAAATGTTTGGACTAGAAACATTACAATTTAACAGACTCATTCTTTTGAGTGATTTTTTTTCTGCAATCACTTCACAAGTAAAAATGGTGTTTGAGCAGTGACAGTACAATATATTCACTTAAGGCTAGGGATGTAACGATACCAAAACCTCATGGTACAATACTGCCACGATAAAACGTCTGCGATACGATATTTATCACAATGTTAATCATGAAGAAATAAGATTTTTTAAAAAGCCCCTTACTAAATAATAAATCTGTTTTTTTATAATGTATATAAAAGATATTGAATCAGTCAGTAGCAGTCTTTATGAAATAAAGTAAAATATTATATTAATGCAGTAGCTGTCTGCAGTTTGTAAAACAAACAAACAAAAAACAAAACAAGTCACACTCCCAGCGTAACATCAGTGTTTTAGTGTCCCCTAGGCACGTTTTACTTTTCCAGTTTGGTGGCTGTGCCGACCAGTGTCGGGTTCTCAGTACTGGACAAGTTGAAGTTTATAGTAACAAAGTTGTACTGGTTCCTGTCTTTCTTCACTGAAAGGTCAGAGGTCAGAAAAAAGGAGGGTGGATGATTAGATAGTATTGCTACTCATTATAGTGCATTCTGAAGCTACACCTTTTCTCTGCTTCACACGCCCACACACACACACACACACACACAGTGAAAGCGCCCTTTGTGGAGGGATTTAGCTCCGGCAGTACTGTGAATTAATATTCTGCTCAGTATTGTGCTGCTCCCTGGTGAGGGGAAACTGACCTGCTTCAAAACAGTGAGATTATAATAACCTCAGATACAACAGGGAGGACAGGACTGCTCCTTCACACTCACAATTTAGCTCCGACACACACACACACACACACACACACACTCACTCACAGGTTCATTAAAAATGCATGGTAGACTCTGGAGCTGGCAGGGACCAGAGAGAGAGAGCGGAGCCTCAGAGACTCGGGTCTGCCTCAGAGAAATCAAACCTGACTGGCACACAGCTGAAGCTCTGGAGCTGTCGTTTCAGCTCGTCAGCTTCTGTGCGACAGAGCAGCGAGCGACTAAGACATGCTGAGCAGCAGTGTCAGAGGGGGAGTGTGAGTGCATGAATGTGTGATGGAGGGAGGAAGCGGAAGTCTCTCCCCCTTGCTGCGTCAGCACTGCTGCACAGTATTAAATGACAGACTAAAGGGAGGTGGATATTTGAGAGCAGCTGTGGCCTGAGAGGGAGAGAATAAACTGAGCAATCAATTTGGCTTTGTCAGTGTGGGAACGGTAAGCCTTGATGTGTTAGCTGTGTGACTTCTGTGTACTCAGATGGCAGAGACACTCCATTGTTGCAGCAGGGCTAAAGTGACGAGGCCAGGCAGCCATGTAAAGCAGCTACAAACAACACTGTACCAGCCACACAGAGGAATACATTCAGGATAGGACTGCATGAACACAATGAACCGAGGCAAACTCTGCTGTTTGAGTGGCTCTGATGGTTCTATTTATAAAATATTAAGTACATTAAAATAAAGAGACTAACTAAAGCAGACTAACATAATTAGAGAAACAATTTGTCAAGTAGTGACAGAAAATTGATCTGCAGCTATTGTGATAACCAGTACTTTTTTTTTTTTAAGTAAACTGCCCAGAATTTCTGGATCCAGCTTCTCAAATGTAAACATTTTAAGGTTTATCACTTCCTGGTTTTTGATTGTTGGTCAAACAAGCAGAAATGTAAAGACATTACTTTCAAGTCTGGCAAACATTTGTCACTATTTTCTAATTAACCAGTAATGAAAACAACCATTAACTGAAGCCCTGCACACAGTATTTTCTAAAATTATGTCTGTCAGGCAATGAAGTCAGTGAAGAAAACTCTCTTGAAGTAATTGACCCATCAGTGTCTGAACAAATCTCAACTGAGTGTCCGTTATCATCAGCTCATCATTTAATACACTAGAATTATCTGATTCGTCAAAGTGGTACCGTTTGCTCGGTATGCTCCCTGTGAGAGCAGGCCACACGCCTTGGGCAGAGCAGCCACAGTGTTTGGCTTTTGGCTTAGCTGTGCTGAGATGGGGCAGGTGGAATTTTCCACTGGTAGAGAAGAGAGGGGGCGAGCTGAGGCCTGGGGGGAAGTCATAATCGGGGCAGAGAGGGTGAGAAGAGTCACAGGTGGGGACGCAAAGGGAGGGCTGCATACAAGGAATTTACTTGTGCGTGCACACTCTCACTGACTCATCACTCAGAAATCCCCCTGTGACAAAAACACAAACAGCAGGCTGTACATACCTCGTTCGTTCTGATGATGAGGCGGTACTGGTATTGGTCTTTCAGGTCTTTGGTGTCTTCCAGTTTTTCCCTGCGAATGCTCAAGGCCACTGGACCCAGCTTATCATCTGTCCCAAAGTAGTTTGAGTGCTCTAATGAAGGACAGGAAGAGGGAGACAATAGGTATTTCTTTTAACCACATCTGTACGTGAGCTCAGATACATCAAACAATGAGGAAGGATGGGTTGAGTATTTTTAGATGATGGACCTAAAAATGCTTAATACCAGCACTGATACAAGATCTAATGTTTAAAACAACAGTCAAGTCATTACTGACTCATTTTTTAAAGCAAAATTTCACAAACTTCCCTGGTTCCAGCTTCTCGAATGCAAATATGTACTAGTGCTGCCCTGAATGGCAACTTTTGGGCTCCAAGATATTTGGTGGTTAATAATCGGTGAATATTCAAATATTCAGGGGGATTTAATGGGCTGACACTGTGCAGCGGCTAATAAAAGTACCTCTTCGCCCATTTGACAGTTATTTGGGTTAAAAAACAAAACAAAAAGCTAATGAAAGTAACTATGCAATATTTAATTTAAAAGATGGACAGTCGCCAGATCTTAGCCTTCTATGATGAGCACACTGAATCTGGATTTCGAAGTGTTGATCAGACAGAACAAGCCACTGGACAACATCACTGCCACCTCGGGGAAACTGATGAATCTTTTTACACTATTTTCTGACTTTTTACAAACTAAACTATTTGTCCATTTATTGGGAAAAAGACTGGCAGAGTAACTGAAACTTACCTTAACACTTTTGCCCATGTCCTGGCAAATTTAAAATCAATCAGTAAATACCTCCTAACAAAATGTCCACAGGTGACTAGGCATTCACAGAAGGCTAAGAAACACATTTACAGTAGGTTAGTAGCAAAAATGTACTGAGGTTCGCAGTCCAATGCTAATCTAGTAATCAATACTCAGGTAGTTAATAGGAAGGTAACTGGTAACAAAGAAAGCTGAGGGTTAAAGGACTACAAAGTTGTGTGGTCCCCCCCAACAGATGGACATGTTTCTGACATTGTGCGTGGGAGCTACACTGCAAAAGGAGATCTGATGAAATACAATTCAACTCTTCAGTCTTTTAAATGAAGAAATGAAAGTGTGGTGTCATAAGTCACCAATTAACATTCAGTGGCAGTACTGGCACCACACAACGTATCAACACACTTCACATGCATCCTGCATGTCCTCCTCTAAAGCTCCTAAGCTAAGCCATGCTAATGCCATCGCCACAGGCAGTGTGAGACTCAAAACATAAATTCAAAACACACTCGGCGAAGAATCCGGCTTGACAAGTGTTCCTCCTCTATCCCCCTTTCGGACTGGAATGAACCAGGAAGACGTACATGCTGGCAGACTCGGGCCTGCTTAGCCTCCATGTCCTGTGGTGAAAATGTCAGTTTTTGGATGAGGCTTTCTGACGTGCACGCAGGGCACATGATAGCGCACAGGCACAAACAATCCCAGCAGCGTTGTGGGGGACTGCTAAGCTAGAAACAAGTCAGCAGAAGAACATATTTTTGGAATGCTAACCTTAATCTGTGTGGCCGACAGCTTGTCTCTCACACACACGCATGATTTGCTGGCACACATGTACCCATAACTGCATCAGTCACTAATTAGGGTGCAGCCAGATGATGCCTGCCGAGAGGAAATTTCATCTACAGTGTCTGAGGAGGTGATGTTGATGAGAAATGTCTACATGCGCGCATCAGCCACACACACAACCTTTGTCTCTGAAGATATGTTACTTCTGACACTGAAAACCAGATGTAAAACAAAGCTGCTCTATGTTAAGTGGTACTTGGTATAAGTGGTATAATGCGGAAAGGCAGGTGCTGTATCATCAGCTGAGAGTCTGCCAGCAGTCCAGTGGCAGCTACATGTGTAATAAAAACTCTGGGAGCGTAGCCAGTTTGACCCAAGCTGCTGTTGACAGCTGCAGGATAGCAAGTGGGGAACGTCACTGGGGCAACTCCAGGCCAGATAACGGCATCGACACCGATTCATGTGTTCAAACAACAACAAGGGCCCAAATCAGAAAACTCACTGTGTCTATAAGGGCTGCAACTATTTCATTGCTGATTTATACCACTAAGTGAACTACTGTTTGCATCTGTCAGATATATTTCAAATAATTTTTCCAATGATCTGAATAATCATTTAGTTTAGAGATGCACCAGTTACAACGTTCTTGGTCAATTCCAATTTTCAACCTTTTGAAAGTCTGAGCTGAAAAGTCCAATTTTGGCCAATTTCAATGTTCTTTCTTTCTAAGAACTGTAACTCACAGCATACACCTACATTTTTGTAACTTTTCTTTAGTCTAATGAAATATTAATGCGTAATTTAAAAAACACTATTAAAGTTTTACATTTCTTTCACTCTTTTCTTTTTTTACAAACCTCCGCTTAAAAATGAAGTGCAATATTTGTACTTCTCCAAATATAAACAGGTGCAACAGTTAAAAGAAATGTCTGATACTACTAAGCATACAGTTCTTTTTGAAGTGTGTGTAGTTTGTATTTGCTGTGTTCTACCACGGGTTGGATTCACTAGACAGATGCATGCATTTCATGTGTAGCCAGTAATCCCCCTCTGAATTGCCTTGCATTATTGAAATAAACCTGACTGTCCTACTTAAAGTAACCTCTCATTGAACAAGTGTTTATGAAAATTAATGTTGCTTCTTAGTTTTCATTAACCCCGAGAAACGATGCTGGAGTGAAAAACTTAAAGCACCTATAAACCACAGTTACACTAAATGTGTAATATTGCAAAGCATTACTATTGATAATCAATTTGCTCTTAGTGTGTTTGACTCTTGTTTCAGTGTGTGACATATCACACTCGGTATTACCTTTCTCATTGAAGTAGTCTCTGTAGTATCTGGCCCCCAGGTCCACATGCTCTATGCTGTACAGTTTCAGCCTGTCCAGTCTCGTAACCTGCTGTTCAATAGGCACCTCCAGCACTGAGACGCTGGCGTTGCTCCTCCTCAGCCATCCCCGTCCTCCATCTCCTCCGTCTCCACAGCGCTCTGCTGACGAGCTGAGGAAGCTGATGTTGCGCTCCCCGTGGCCCCCAGTCTCATTGAGGAAATGGGGACAGCAGAGGAGCAGCGGGCTTGAGCTCTGGGCTCCAGGAGGCCCATCGAGAGGGTCCACGCCCAGAGAAGGTGCTGTGGAGCCTGGGTTGAGGCTCAGGGTCAGATCTTCAATGCTGGAGTAAACCGGGTCATTCACAGCTGAGGATCTGGAGCTAGAATGGGGCACTGAAGCAGCTGATGCCCCTGTGGCGGTGTTCCTCCTCTGGGTGGCATAGCCACGCTGAGCCGCCACCTCATGGAGGTCAAACAGGATGCTCTGAGCATCAAAATGGACAAAGCTCTTGGAGCACACCCATGGTCTGTAGGAGGCATCTAAACCTCGCCCTCCCCCGTCCTCAATAGTTTCTCCTTTCCCTCCATCCAGCTCCCCTCTGCTAGAGCTCCGAAGTTTCCTGAACAAAGAGGCGGTGCCCAGCGATGACTCCGTCCCTCCACTTTTCTTCCTCACTCTCTCAGCTCCGTCCTTCCGTCCTAGAACTCTGTCATCCCCACCTGTGGGACCAGTTGAGGACACAGAGGGCAGGGATGTGCTCGGTGGCAAGTCTGGAGCACGCAGTAGCTCCCTGAGGCGTACGGGCACTGAGCTGCGCTGGTCAGGCCTCTCCTGGTGGAACTGACTGAGCATGTCAAAGAAGCTCTGCTCAGGAATGCACTGGATGTCAATAGAGGAGGTGCTGCCATACTCTCTGAACAGGTTCCCCATCCCACCACCTCCACGAACCTCCACCTTGGGGCACAAAGGGGAGAGAATTTCTAGTGAATAAAAAATCTATTATTGGAAAATAAAGTCTGGTTCATTTCAAACAAACTCTCTTGTGTTTGCCTCTTGATGATGTGAAAGCTGCCAATCAAAATCTAATGTGCCTCAAACATCTAGGTCCCCTGAAAAGCTGTGCTTCTAAACAAACAATAGTGATTCAACTCTCATATGAAAATAAACAGGACTTTCTTACAGCAGATATGAGCATGACGTCAAGAGCTAAAGTACCAGAGCACCTTGGAGCTGTAGCTGAATGGACACAGCACATGCAACATATATGGTCTGATTCCATCATAAACCCTCTCTCTTTCTCCCCATGTTTCCTGTCTGCATCTCTGCAACACTTTTTGAATAACAGCAAAAATGCAAAAAAAAATAAAAAGCTAAACCCATTTTCTGACTGTGAACTTTCAAATGAACTTTCAAAATAAAAATAAGTGATATATATCCTGTATATAAGCAGTGTAAGCAAATATTCAACATCACCTGGTAACCATGCTAACATGTATGTGCATCAGCACAACTGAGATTAAAGTATAAGTGAGTTGTGTGTCTTGGCATTTCCCCATTAAACATTATAGTGAACCACAGCAACCACAGTTCCTATGCCTCTCATAATATTCCGGAAAAAAAAAAAGACACCTCATGACAATCACAACTGTCCAATCAGTGAGTTTCTTGCTGATCTGTATAAGTTAATTTATTCTCCTCTTGGTCTGTCTGTAAAAGGTCAGTGTGAAGACGAACTGAAAGGCAACATGTTTTTTCTTGAACCAATTTACAGGTGGAAAAGAGGAACTCAGAGGAAGGCTTAAGGCTCACCTCATTCTCATCCTGTTCGCTCAGCGTCACTTCGCTGATGGAGCGCTGTCTCAATGGTGGGAACGCTCTCAGGATCAAAGGTGAGCCTCTTTCATTGCCAAACCCTCCTACTCTGAACTCTGCATCCTTGGACAGTCGTCGTGGCAACCTGGCAACTCCTCCCCGCACCAGCCCAATGTCGGATGACAAAAATGATGATGAAGCTGTAGTAGAGCAGTCATAGTGATTGCTGCCAGTTTGCCCATTTTCAAGCAGCGATTCCCGGGACTGTGCACGACGTGGAGGCCATTCTGCAATCCGCGCCCGAACACCCATTTTGGGCACAGAAACCCGTGGTTGCATGACCAAGTCTATGGGGCCAGTGGCCGGGTGGCCATTGATGGTGAGACAAAATGGAGTGCGCTGAGGCAATCCTCCTCCATCTCCTCCATCCAGAAGGTCCGAGGAGGTGCAAGTGACCCCTCTGTCTCTGTAGCTGTTCATGGCACCTCAGGAGAGCTCAGGGCCGTGGGGCAGGGGGCGGGCATCCCATGTCAGGAGGGGTTCTAGGGAAGAGGGAGAAGAGGGGCCCCACACACACTCTGCTGATGGTACTACGGCCTGCAGCTCCCAAAAACATTGCTTTTAATTGGCAGGATGGGAAAGACGTTACTGCTCCATGACAGACCAGTTAGGATCAGGACCGGTCCTCTTCTTCTTGGATTAGTTTCTGTCTGTTGCAGATCTGAGAAAATAAAGACACAAGGCAAAACAATCAGTCCAACAAATCAGCATCAGACAATCAAAACATCTAAAAACCAACACACAGCAGATCTGAAATACTGGAACATTTTTAAATCCCAGACCTCACGTGACCCAAATTTTCTCCACAGGCTTAAAGAAAAACTGAGCTCTGGATAAGAAAAGAGCGAATCACTCAACTGTAAAACAATGTAAGACTGATAAGCCAGAGAGAGCGAGAGACAAAATAAGGTGAGGGGATATGACAGAGGATTTCTCCCATTGAGGCTAATCTTCAAAAGCCTGACAAATGATATTATTATCACACACACACTGTGCACTCAAGGCATGTGTGCACTCAAACACTCATATATACCCACTGGACATGAAGGCTGTGACCGCCCATGTACCAAAACCACTGAAACACTTTGGCTAATATTATCAGTGTAGGAAGTAATCCAGATCCAAACAAAGGGAGTACACAGACACGTCATTTGGCAGAGGCCAGCAGTGATGACATCAATTATACACAGTGGTGGAAAGTAACTAAGTAGATTTACTCAAGTACTGCAATTAAGTATAACTTTGAGGTGCAACATTAAATGTGATGTACACAATAATTCAGCAGTATTACAATACAATAATATCATAAATATTTATGTTAAATATGCCCTTTTGAAAACTTTTACTTTTACATGATTAATATGCTTTGAAACTTGGAGTTGAATAGGAACTTCAGGAGAGACAGAGAACGACAAGGGGACAAAGTGACCCAACAGCTGGAGGGGTGATGTAGGGTAACACCAGAAATAGACCGACTGGACAGCCAAGAACGAGCAGTACACTGCTCAGTGAACCACAACCACATACTTTAATATGACAGTCACCCTGCATTAAATCTTAAAGTCCACCACCTTTTGGTAGACATATTTTCTTATGTTTTTATTTTTTTAAAGAGCATCTTATGTCTTTCCTGAGGTTTAACGTGATGACTTTCACAGACAATGTTGTACGTGATCGGCTCAAGGGTACAGAAACACAGCCAGACCATTCTGGGTTCAATTCTCACACACTACGTTTGCCAATCTAAAACGCTAACAGTTTTACAGTGCACACACTGTAAAAACTACTGGCAGACGGAATCACAGTACGCTTTGGTCATAATCAGTCCTAAAACATGCGAGTCAGGGTCTGAATGCTGTGGTAGCTCGGTGTGACATTTTGGGGGGTTCTCATTATGATGTGGTTATGACTCCACTGGGTGACACAGCAAGCAATGACAAAAGGCCAGCATGTGAGGAAGAGGCACAGAGGGAGCTCTGCAGCCTTGTACAAAAACACACTGAGTTTTGTCAAGTCTATTTTTAAATGCATGAGTTCCATTACAAGTGTTTCTGCTGGCTACTCCAAGTTAAACTTAGGACTTGTTAATACCACACAGAATATGGCCAACGTATGATGAATAACCAGGCCTACAATTATTTTTAGTACTTCCCAGCAGCATATAATCATTTTGTTAAAGTCAACACACTTGCCTAGTGTAAAACAATGAGGTTCTACTGCTGCTACTGTAGCCAACAGTAGTGATACAGTAGGTTTGCTACAGCTCTGAAAGTGCAGAGTGAACCTCAGCAGCCTCCTGCGCACACAATCTGCTGTCAGAACTACTCTGTTTTTAGTTAAAAAGATGTATAATGTCTCTCAACAGCCTGAAACTGGATACAAAGATTTTATAGCCAATGTTTCTGCCCACAAAAGGAAACATCCTGATTCACATTCAATGTGGAAAATTAATCACAATCTGTTGTGGAGTAGAAGTTATTTGATTGAGAGATTCTGTAAAATGCCTAAAATGTGCTAAATCCATCCATCTCAGCTGGATCAAGATGCTAGTGTTTCAAATGCTACTCTTCCTCTCTGCTGAATTTCTTTCCCCTCTCCACTTCCTGTCTAATTCCCTCTTAAGGACTCTATGCCTGGATCAAAGCTCCTTTATCTGCACCAGTCTCTCCTCAAATGGCCAAAGTTATTCAAATACCCACAGTACATTTGCTCAGAGGGCAGACATAACTCCTCGGCACATATAACCTTCTCCGGTGTTGGTTATTTCCTTGTCACATTCCAGTACCATGCTATTCCACTGTACACACCTTTTATGCAATCCAAAGGTTTCTGGTTGTGTGCAGAAGGCACTAACTCCCCCACCTCTGTCATATAACCTTCCTGTCAAAGTGTTCACGACTGTAAAACACCTTCCCCTGGTGAACCAGACAAGAGCTTTAAGGAATTACATCCCATGATTCACCCACAAGCAGAAAAACACACACTCACATACAGTGAACAATGTTTAACTGTATAATCATTTGGACTCACATCTGACCACATTAAAATTTAAGAACTTTCACTGATACTGCTGTTACACGCTGGTGTTAAAAAAACCAGGGCAGGCTACACTTGCCTTAAAAGAGGTGGTAAACATTGGACGCTTAGTTTAACAGCTAGCAGAAAGCACACATCAAGATAAATTTTGTTGTGAGAAGACACTACTCTCGTCTTTCTTCAGCTGCTGTGACTCCTTCAAATGCCGACTCCTGGGGGCGACTCTCTCGATATGAAGTCCAATTTGCATCACACTGAGCTTTTCATTGTGTCAAGACGAGTCAAAGCCTCGTGTGTCTTAAGATACACAATGTTTTTTGAGTCCTCGCTGAATCCATTTTTGTCCTCAAGACTGCATTACTCATTCACTCACACATGCACATAGGAGCCATCAACAAAACGTATTCATAGAAAACAAAATCCCCCTGTAGTCCTACAACTCTGCACATGTATACTGTCTTTGTTTTGGGAGGACCACATGCACTTCCGGGCCAAGGGCTCCCGCTCTGATCCTGCTTTCTGACAGAGTCTTTTATCATCCAGAGGGCTGTCCTCTGATCCACTACCAGGCCCAATCCGAGATTATCCGGCCCCAGCTGCAAGAGCTGCAGAATGGCTTCATTGTGCATCTGAGGTGCCTGGTGAGAGAGGCGATGAGGAGAGTCTGGTTTGCCCTTCATCGGTGACCTCTGTCAGCGCCCCAATGAGAAACATACCTGACTACGTTTAACAGACCACCTGGACTTGCTGGAGGTTTTCACTGTCAGTTCAGCTGTAGGTTAGCAGTGTTACACCAATACACTAAAGGTCAAAGGTCAAAGTGTTTGTCATATGCACAGTTAGGAAACGTGTTTCCCTGTACAATGAAATTCTTACTTTGCCGTCCACATGAATGCCACATAATACAAGTGAAATATAAAGTAGATGAGCAATGACAACTCAGTCAGGTTTATTTCACTTTAAAGAGTCGATTAAGAGTTAACAGTTATGCTAGCAGCTCTGTGAGGCTGTACTAAGGTACAGTGGTGTTTTGAGCCAAATGCTAATGTCAACACACTCACAATGACAATGTCAACATGGTGATATTTATCAGGTTTGATGTGTACCATGTTCAACACTGTGTTCACAACATTTCAACTGACATAGTGAACTTGTTAGCCAACAGTTATCATCCATTTGGAGTCATGTTTGTGTGGCCAAAGAATGTGGGTCCGATACTGGCACTCTTTTTATCTGTTTTTGCGCCTGAGGGGAAACCTCTGTCTCTTTAGCTGCCAAATTCTCCACTGTGTTCACCAGACAGTCACTAAGTCTGTCTGTCTGTCTGTCTATCTGCTGTTTAGTGCTTAGCAGGTGGGGTTCAGTGAGTTTTGAGAGCTTCTTCACTAAAAACAGCTGCTTGTTGCACCAGAAACAATACTGAGAGTGAACCAAAACAGTGGAGCTGCAGCTAAGCAAGTGAACAATGGGCTGAAACTCATAGTAAACTTCAATAAAGCCAAAGGAAACTGCAGATTCTCCCACTGCCACATTGTTTTCACATTGTCATCTGGTGCATTATGTTTGTGGAAATATTTATTCTAACGATTTAGGATCACTAAAGTCATCATTCATCATAATTCATCCTTATGGTGACATGAATGTCTGTACCAAATTTCATGGCGATCCATCCAATTGCTGACTCCATGGTCACCAGAGTAGTTAGGATTTGTCCTCTGAGCACCACTGCTAGCTTGGCTTGGCCGCACTCTGCAATACTCGTGACCACGGAACAAACTTACATTGCTCTCAGGCATCTACTATAAATACCAGAATCACAAGTTAAAGCAGGCATAAATTACTGTATGATAAAAGGGAGTAAATAGAAGGGTAGAATAGCTTCATCATCATCAAAAATCTGTTCAGATGAGATGAACCTATCTACATCCAACTAATAAAACTGATTTAAGCATAAGCCTTGGGATCAATGTGCTTTGCCAGAGATTTTAACAGCATCACACTGTTTCCCCCTCACTGAACAGAACTGACACAAAACAACCAAAAGTTGTTGCTATGGGACAAAGATACATCCCCATCTTCCAAAAAAGTATCTGTGAGGATAAACGTCAAGTCACTTTCACACACTCTTGTAGTCAGCAAACAAATTAGCACTAACAACTGTATTCCATTTTTAAATATTATGAAAAAAGAAGTCATACCTCAAGTATGATGGACAGCTATCAAAATATCAGACAACTACATAGAGGGGAGCAGCCAATATACTGTATTCCAGAAAACCACATACTCAGAGGTTGAAACCTCTGAAAATGTTTCTGTCTTGGTGAGACGGAGCAGAGAGCAAGAGGAGAGGGTGTAATCAAAGTGAAGTACTACTTTTGAAGCCAATCAACAACATTATAAATTATGATTATTGAAGACAAAAAGGTCAATAAAGTCCAGAGAAAAACAGATGGGAAGACAGAATTAATCTCCACCAGCTACAGTAAGAACTGGGCAGACACATCCATCTTTGGCAAAGACTTCAGAAGAAAAATTGCAGACATCTAATGGTTTTTAATTACTTACTGTACATATAGTAATTAGTTAGCTCCAGGACGTGCCTCTCCCATTATGAGTCTCTCCCTC